TAATTCTAAATAATCTAAAATGATTCATATATTGTGTGAAATTTGCATCATTCAAACATAAAAGTAATATCGTCAAAAATTCACTAACATCTTTATTTCATTTTTTTTGTCTACCTGATATATGTGCCATAATAAGAGAGGAAATGATTCATTCTAGGCTACAAGTTTAAAGTTCTTAGAAGGACATAACTAATTTCAGGCATTAATGGCATCGGGTGAAACACCGAGCAATCTTAGCTTATACAAGTTATCCTTAAATACTCATAGTGCTTATCGTCTAAGTTTTCAAGGAAAGTTCACTCGATATCTTCCCATCATTATAGGGGAAGGAAATGGCACCTCTATTGGCTACATTCCTGCTATCAATCGTATATTTTACAAATTATATCCATTTTATTAAATTTTTTTTTTTCGTTTGATTTTATATTAAAGAAATAAAATTGTCAGCAAAGAGAAGTAAAAAAAAAAATGCTGAATGAGCGTTTGAAATTTTTATTTTTTTTTTGAAATCGCAAATTAATTGCAAACAGTTTCACATTAACCTTGGTAATCAAAAACAGAAAAAAATTGTTCAAGAAAATCTCAGAGTTAAAAAGAAATTAAAATTTTTATTAAATTATTTTCTGGATATGTCAAAGTTGAAGAAAAAAAAAGTAAATGATTGTAAAATTATTGAAAATGAGAAATTATGAATGATTTTATTAAAAAGGAGAACAGGTTTTACAACTTATAGTTTTATTGATTGTTATGCGTAAATTATTATTTCATTTCTTGTTCTCAAATTTTTATCACAAATGTGTTAAATGTTGGATTAACTTTTAGTTCGGCACATTCTACAACCAATCTTCGCAGCACCAACCACTATCGGTAAGTGACGAATATTTTATGAAAAGAGGTAAAGGTTATACCGAAGGTCAGTAATATACGGAAAAGGGAGAAGGTCAGGAAAAGGTCAGTAATACCGATCAGGATAATTTTTCTTGCTTTCTCGACACTTTTGCTGAGCAAATATGATGAGAGCTCTTCTTTCAGCTCCTTTGACAACAACGACAGTAACAGAAACCGTAACAGCTGAGGACGAAGAATGCATTGGTGCATTTTCAAATAATTCATTTCCAATTTGCATTTATTTGATAGCATAAGCAAAATATGAAATGATATCAATTGGAAAGAAAATATAAAATAGAATAAATTACAATCTTGAATTTTAGCTGATTTTGCGGTAATCAATTCGTCAACAAAATCTCCTACTTCAACAAGGATCAAAATGCGAAAAATTGCATCTCTTATGGCACTTTCAAATAGTTTATTTGCAATTTGCATATGTTTCATGGCATATAGTGAAAACGAACAATGATATAAGTGATAACGGAAAAAAAAAACAAACTGAATGACGATGATAATAACAGCGATAATCTGATCATTTATATAAACTGATAATAACTGATTATTATTTCCTTCGAAGATATATTCTGATAAATTAGACAAACAACCATTTCACTGAATAATTAGTAAATGCGGTATCCCTAATTATTAATATGATTAATAATTAGAGATATTGCTGCATTGTAATATATATCAGTGATTGCACATGCCATCATTGGCTATCTATCAGAATTGATTGATCAGTATTATTCATACCTCTCTAATTATTTCGTACAATTTGTCTGGCAATAATTTATTCGAATTTAGTGAATTTTATTTCACTGACTAGCAAAATAACTCCTCCTGAATGGGTAAATAAATATAAATAATAGCATCTGATTAGCACTATATATTACCATGCTAACATCGATTATTTGAGCATTTTTGATAAGTATAACCAGCTACTGAATTGATTTGAAATTTTTGAAGTCCAAAGCATTATGAATGGTTGAAAAGATAATATGCTGCTTTACTGCATTTTGTTTTTCAATATTTTTCGGAGCGGCTCATTTTCTCAGGGCAATATTTTCATGTGTTTGTTGGAAATTTAAATTTTCAGAAAAAATCTCCTTCACTTAAATTAATCGATAAAAACTTGAAAATAACCATGCGCAGATGCTATTTCGAATAATAAAAATTGCAACAAGTTTTAAATGAATTTCGAATTTTAATTTTAACTATTTAAAACTATATATAAATTCCAGAAATAATTTCTCGTCTATTACTATGTTGCATGCATACGTTAAGAAGAAATTAATTTTAATGGAAAAAAATTAATGTCGTAGAAGCCAACTATTTTTTATGAACAAAAATTAAATTATTTTAAAAAAAAATGGTATTAAGTGAAAATTAGATTAAAAAACGGTATTAAACAGATCTGAATATATATTTTCATGCATGTATCTGGAAAATAATTTTAATATTTACAGCAATTTCACTTTCTTATTAAGAGAAAGAATATTTTACTAAAATTACTTTCTTTTCAAGGAACTCCTTTTCATTTTCCTTCTCTACTTTCGGAAAAAAGGTAAAAAGAAATTGAACTTTTTCTGATATTTCAAAAATGCAAAATTAAGCAAATTTGCAAGCATTTCAGTTTGTGCGATAATACAAAACGAATCTTTTCATTTCGTAAAAATTATGACTGTCTTTAATGTGATGAATTGATCAATTAATTAATTACCCAAACCTGCATAATATCATTGGAAGAATTTCAAAAATTCATCATTTTATAATTTGTTTTTCTTTTCTAAATCAAAATATATATGTATATTCATTGCTCGAAAATTTTTTTTTTAAATGCATTTTTTTTTTGAAATCTCTAAAAAAACTTCCATTTTTTTTAAAATAAAATTTTGATTTTAGGAGTGAAATTTGCAATCTGATGAGTATTGTTGAGAGCCCTCTGGTTGATTACACTGATTTGCTTTTCAACTTTCACACGCTACCACTTTGTTTTTGTTTTTTACAAAAAGAAGGAAAAAAAAAATTGTTGTTTTGCTTTTCGTTTCGCTTCTTTTGCTTTATTTTCTTTAGATCAATTGTTCTATGCTTTATTTTATTTTATATCTAATACAACAAATGCAGTAAATTGATAAGAGATGGGTAAAAAATATCGCGGAAGATGATGAAAATACACGGATAAACATAAAATGCAATATGCAAATGAATAAAAAATGCACGTGCACGAATAAATAGAAAATACACGTACACGAATAAATAGAAAATGCAGGATACAGGATAAACAAATAAATGCACGCACCGCATGGATGGAACGTAAGTTAAATGCTGCATCGCTTTTCTATATTTAATAAAAAAGCAATGCGAAAATGTATGAAATTAATACGATAGAGTTACGTGCACGCGGATAGATAATGTAGGATCGGTTTTCATGTAGTCAATTTAATTTCAAAGAGAAAAACGATATAATTCATAAATTTCTTTTATAGCTGGCTCTCTATCAATAATATGTATCTTTGGTAAAATGAAATTTTGAATCAACTTCAATTTCAAACAGGTTTTTTTGGCAACAAAAATTTATTTCAAATAACCAAAAAAAAAAAAACTCTGATTTGAAATCTGAAATTATTTGATTGAGTTTAATTAACATAATAATAGCTAATAAATTTGAATCACATCAAATCAATATAAAATATGCAGAAATCAAAAAAAAAAAACCTGACATTATGAAGAGTGTGCATTAGCAATTTCATCAGCAAAATAATCAATGATGAGAGATTGATTTTATACTTCATTAATGAGTTTACTTTTTTCTGTTTCTTTGGAAACAAACATTGAATAGAATCCGTATGATATATGTTTCTTTTTTTTTAAATTTAAATTCAATTAAAAACAAAAAAAAGTTATTCCGAGGGGAATATGCGCATATTTGTTCCTATCTGAGAATCATTTCTCATTGCTTTCAAAAATTTTTGATATTTCTTTTTTCAACATTATTCCATCAAAGTATTTTTAATCAAATCATACTGCAATGCACTATCAAATAATGATAATTCATTTATTATAAAATATCAATATCATTTATTAATTAGTTTATTAATGCTGACGAATTGTTCATTATCAGTATCAAATATCCTTAATAAATTGTTTTAAATTCATTATTTAGATATAAATGTGGGAATAATTGATTGATTTTTGATGCATTGATTAGCCAGTATGCAAATTTATCGATGAAGAAAGGAAGGAGAAGATGAAGGAAAATGTTGAAAATATTCTGATAGAGCACAATCATTTATCATTCTTTCAATTCAATCAATGTAAACATCAGTAAGTTTAAATATTTTGGAAAATTTTCAATTCAATTTATTTTAATTTGTTAACATCTCATTCTTATATTTCTTTAAAGCTAAATAACAATATCCTCTCTAAAAATTTTTTTTTTTTATCTTTTTCAATTTCAACTTCTTCGTCTTCTTGCTTCATCCTCATCTTCATCTTCAACAATTACTACCACTTCACTTAAAATTAGATAGATGTAATAAGGATAATGAAAATAAGAAGAGGTTGGGAGAGAGAGAGAGAGAGAGGAAAAGAGGTTGAAGGAGAATGAATGATAAACGAAACAAATTTTCGAACGAAATCTATTAGAAGAAGAGGAAACAGTTAGAAGGAACAATGGTCGATTCAGCGGGACGATTTGCTTGCTGTTCGTTACGAGTAATCATTTATCTTACCTTCTTTTTTTTCCAATTCTTTCAAAAATTAATTTATTTTTAAAGTTTTTAAATTGCTATTTATTGAACTTATGAATTTGATATTATGATTAGAATTCATTTCTTCCAACTAATTAATTTTTCATTACCTTGTTTATCTATTATTAAAATCCGAATTCTGATTTGTTCTGATTAGCTGATTAAAAAATCCAAAGTTTTTGATAAATATTTCTTCATACTATCTATATTTGCAAATTTTATTAAGCATTTTTTGATCAATCAATAGGAAATGATAAATTCTCGAGTTAGATCTTGACATTTTAGAAAGTGACGTATAATTTCAAGTTTAATGTAGGTTAATATTTGTAATGCTTATAGACAGCTGGCATCGTAGTAGCAATATGTGAATTTCTAATATGCTTGTTAACCATATATGGCCTGATCCGGAATTTTCAACTTTTCGGAATTTATTATTTACTTTGGTTTATCATCGGTTAGTCACTTTCGTTTCCTAACTGTAATCAAAATTAATGAAATTACTGAAAATTTTGACGATTTGGTATAATTAATACGCATTTATATTTCAGTAAATCACGTAAGAGTCAGTACACTTACGTTTTATTAAATAAATATAATAAAAATTCATCGCAATTATTCGTATTACTTGGATTATCAAATTATTAAAATATCGTGTTACAATTAAAATCTAATCCTTTTTCCTATGATTTAAGTTGGAACTTAATACTTACTGCAAAGTAAATAAATGAGATAGTCGTAACAGTTGTTGGCATCAATTGATTTCCGCACATTCAGCAAAACGATATTTCTTTTAGTTCGAAATCTGTTTTTTTTCTTTGTTGAAAATTCCAATATCTTATTAGAACAATAATAATGATAAATGTTTAAATTTGAAAAGAAAGTTCCGGCATAAACAGATTTCAGCAACCGCAAATATAATTAAAAAATTTAATCAAAATTTAAAATTTGTTCAGTTTTAAATATTGCGAAACTGATCTCCATGAATTAATTGATTTCCAATTTTTGCGATATTGCCAGTTGTTCTTTCACTAAAAGTAAATTAATTCTATAATTATAGAATTAATACCTAAGTAATTTGAAAACATATAAAATTATCGCTATGTAATTGTAGTTATGATTTTAAGATAACAAAATTTGTATTAATAAATTTTCGTCGAACAAATCAATAAATGACTGAAACGAATAAAAATAAGCCGATTTGGATGAAAAAAAAAAAAAGAGAAAAGAGCTATTAACTATTATACAGTTAGAATCTCATAAAATATTTTGGAAAAAATTAATTAGCTAATGGCTTTCGTACAGTCTACCGATAAACAATGTGTGAATAGAATATTAAATTAATTACTTAAATAATAAATAGCTGCACCAATTATAGTAGAAGAAAAAAGGAATTAAAAGTAATTTCAATTTGTTATTCGGAAATGTCTGAAATATTGAGCAATTTCTATTCCAATCTTTCAATTATCGAATATTTCACCTCTCAACATAACATCATACATTTCTATTATTCTGCATATATATCTTTCCTTTTTATTCAAAGATAGAATTTTTAATTTTTAATAAAATGAAATTTTAATTACTATAACTTTTTTCTTAGGCATTGCAAGTGTGATTGTAATATTGATAGTGATTGCGTTACTACTCTATGCCATCAAAACTGAAAATGGCCGCCTTCTAATACCGCATCTTTTTGTTCAGGTTTGTTTATTGATCGTTTTAT